ATATTAATTTTATCATTAATATTGTGTGTATTATTTAATTAGATGATTAATTAAATAAATATTAAATATTATTTTTTAAATAATAATTAATGTTAAAAATATATTTTTAATATGTATTTTAAAAGAATATTTACTACTATTAACTAGCACTTAGATTTTTATTTTTATTTTTTTTGCCAAACATTTGCTTATGTTCAAAAAAAGTAGGAACTTTGTTTGCTTATGATTTTTCTTGCCAACCTTGTATTTATAGATTAATAGATACTAATTTAGTTGAACTTTCATTGTGGTTGTTAAAATGTTTTAACTTGATGATAATATTATTAATAATTAGAAACCCAATCATTGATTTAATTTGCTAAGAAGAAAAAACCAGAACAAAACAAATGGAGAGACAATAATATGCAAAAAAAAAAAAAATGAAACTGACCTCGATAAAGACGGTTTTCAAAACCCTCCCCGATACGGACGTAATATTGGCAGTAATGATTTTGATCTTCAAAGATTCAAACACCTGACACAGCTTCACCATCGTGTCTGTTCTTCTGCTGCAAGTTATGCTCACCACCACCGTCTTTTCTCCCATTTCCGTCACCTTCATCTGCAGATTTTAGCCAAACAGAAATCATATACCAGATTGAAATTTTTGCTTCGATTGCTTAATTAATAGATTGTGATTTCGATTGACAGAAATTGAGATAGATTTACTTCAAGGACTTCAATCGGAGAGGCTCTTGATCCACCGGAATCGTAAAAGTTATCGACCTTCGTCTTCTTCGATCTCAAAAGAACCGGCAGTTCTTGATCGAAAATGTCGTAATTAGCTGGATTTCTGTTCGATTTTCCGGATTCCAGCTCCCTTAGCTCAGCTTGAATTCGCTTTTCCTGTTCATGCAACTCTTGGATGTAATCGATTGCATCTTTGATTATCGAAGCCTTATCCATCTGAAAATCGAAACCAAACCGCAAAGAATTAGCGAGCAAGCGGAAATCGAAAGAAAATAACAAAACGCCAGCTAGCGAATCATTAATCATACCTTGCTGATGTTAGGGACGACAGCTCTGAGAGCAAAGAGCCGTTCGTTAAGCTTCCTCCGGCGATTTCGCTCGGAAACAATGTTCTTAGATGTGGTGGAAGAGGCGGCTCCATCCGGCGAACTTGAATCATAGTAACCGGAGAACTCATCCATCGCCCAACTATTCCGATTTCCAAAAAAAAAAAAAAAAAAAATCCTCGAGTCAATTGCTGTAAATTTAGAAATTAATATGTAAGATTCGGCGAAAAGAAAAGCGAAGTAATAGTTACCCATATTCTTCGTTTTCATAAAAGTATTTGGTTTCCCAATAGTTTGTGTATTCTTCACAATTGTCCATGGCAAGAGAGGAGAGAAGAGAACAGGGAAGTAGAGTGTGGCGTGGTGAGGAGAATAAAGGGGGAGACTGGCACAAGTGCAGAGGACAAGGAATTTATAGCGGGGGCGGGCGGAGGGTGGGGGAGAGAGAACTGGTGGAGTTAATTCCTAGAGAGATCACAACCGTCCAAAATGACATCAGCAGGACCGCGTTTGGTAACGAGGTCCAGGTCAGTCCAACAGAAAGTCCACATTGTAAAAAGCAAAAGCAAAAACAAAAACTTTTGATAGGCCACTGTAATCTGCAATACCCCATCCACCTGTTGAACTCTCCAATGATGGATGGGAACCTTATTTCCTAGCAAAGAAACCTTCTTTGATTCTCTCCCTCTAAATGCCCAAGAAGTGACATCCACACAGGGGTTTCAATATCAACGTGAATAGTTTCACTACGGCGCGACTTTGGGGTCTCCCCGTCTACACCACACTACACAATTTTTCATGGCTACATTTTCTGGGAAAGGGGCGTGAGGGTAGAAGGAAATTGTACTATGATGAAAGACCAAGACTGAATGGGAAGACTTTTGGACGGTGATTCCATTTCCACCCCACTTCCATTTCCATTTTGTGTACTGTTTTGGATGAGGGAAGGGTGGCGGCTCCGTTTATCAATGTGATGTTTTTTTTTTTTTAATTAAATTTATGGTCAAATATCTCACGCAGTTTTTTCGTATCTTAAGCTAATTTTTCTTTGAATAAATCTAGAGTGATGATAGGGAAGTGAAAATTTTGAGATTAATGATTTGATTTA